CTCGGTTCCCTGATCGGTTAACACCTCTCCCGGTGCCCCAAACCTGCACAACACCTGCTCCTTAAAAGCCTTGGCCACATGCCTGGAGTCTTTGCTTGGTATGGCCCACACCTCAAGCCACTTGCTAGCGTGCTCTACCATGAGCAGGATGTACCGTTGTCCTCCCCTGCTCAGCGGCAATTCTCCTGCCAGGTCTAACGACCACCTAAACCCCAGCCCTCTAATCGGCAGCGACTGTAGCTCCTGTTTTGCTTGCATTAGACTCGCCTTGCTTCGCTGGCATCCCTCGCATCCGCTTACCCACTCCTTCACCTGCTTTCGCATCCCATCCCACCACCATCCTGTTTTCAGCAGTTGCATCGTTCGCTCGTGACCGAAGTGTCCTAACTTCCTGTGCACCTCCTCAATTACCCCCTCCCTCTCCCCAGGTGCTGGCACCAATTTCCAGCCGTCTTCTGACTGCAGTTGCAGCTGCCCCTGGTACCACTGATAGTGGTTTCCTTGTGCCCTTGCCCGTTCGGGCACCTGCTCATCCCCCTCTGTTTCTCCCTTAACCCACCTCAGCGCCTCAGCGTCTTCCCATATGTCCCGTGGTCCCTGCTGCTTCCCTGCCGCCTCTTTCTCCCCTTGCCTAGCCAGCATCATCAGCACCTGTACCGGCTCTAGTGGTGGCGGGTTCCTTGAGAGCCCGTCAACGTGCTGCAGTGTCTTCCCCAGTCTGTGCCATATCTTAAAATCGTATTCCTGCAGTGTGACCGCCCACCGCGCATTCCTCCCTGTCAGTCCTTGGTGGGTCATCAACCACTGCAGCGGCTGGTGGTCTGTTATGAGCGTGAACTCCCTCCCCTGCAAGTATACTCTGAAGTGTTTCACTGCCCACACGGCTGCTAGCCCTTCCCCATGATATGAGCTGTACTTTGCTTCCGCGGGGTTGCAGCTCCTGCTCGCATATGCCACCACCCTTTCCTCCCCATCTAGCTCCTGGCAGAGTATAGCGCCCATGCCCTGGCTGCTCCAGTCGGTATAGAGGCAGAAGGGCTTGTCAGCCTTTGGCAGCTGCAGTATTGTCGCCGTCTGCACCGCCTCCATCAAGTCCCTTAACGCTGCCTCCTGGTCTGTCCCCCACTCCCACTTTCTGTCCTCCTTCAGCAGTCCGTTCAGCGCTGTCGCTCGCTTGCTGAAGTTCGGGACAAACCTGCGGTAGTAACTCAGAAATCCCAGCACTGCCCTTAGTCCGCTCCTGTCCTTCGGCTGCTGCAGCCTGTTCAGCACCTCAATCTTTGCCTGCTGAATCCCTATCTGCCCTCCCCTGACCTTGTACCCCAGGTACTGTACGGTTGCCTCTCCCCATCTGCATTTCTTCGGGTGCCAGGTCAGCCCTGCATCTGCCAACGCCTTCAGTGTCCGCTCCGCATCCCTCACATGCTCTTCTTCGCTCTTGCTGAAGATTACTACATCGTCTATGTAACATGCCGCACAGTCTAGTCCCCTCAGGACGCTATCCATCACCCTCTGAAAGATGGCTGACGCGTTCCGCAGCCTGAATGGCATGAACAGCCATTCATACAGCCCATCTGCCCCATGAAATGCTGTCTTCCACACGTCCTCCTTCCTTATCCGAATCTGGTTGAACCCCTGCCTTAAATCTAACGTGCTGAAAATCTCTCCTGCCCCCAGTCGGTCAAATATATCTTCAGCCGTTGGCATGGGGTACCGGTCGGGCACTGTCACCTTGTTCAGTGCTCGGTAGTCCCCACACATCCGTCTGCTCAGCACTTCCCCCAGCAGATCCTTCCGTGCGGCTACAACTGTTGGTGTTGCGTACTCGGACTCTGATCGCTCTATCAGTCCCGCTTCTAACAGCTCCTTACATTTTTCCTTGCAAATGTCCTCGTCTGCAGTTGTCATTCTCCGCTTCCTCTGAAATACCGGCTCATCTGTGACCGGCTTCAGCTCCATCTCCTTCACCGAACACTTACCCAGCTCCTGTAGGGTGAACGCGAAGGCTTGCCTATACCTGGCGAGCACCTCCTGCATTGCCTCCCTTCCCTTCTCACTCATGGCATTCCCCACCACCCAGGCTGGCTCTTCCTTGGCTGCCGTGCATACCCATGCTCCCACCTTTTTCATCCCTCCTCCCTCAGTTTCCCGTTCCTGCTCCTCTCCCATGACCAACCCTCTCCACATTCGCCGCAAAAGCCACTGCATGACCTGACCGTCCATGGCCTGCCCCAGTGCTTTCCGTCGTTCCTGTTCTGTCACCCCTGCTGCATCGGTTATCCCTTCTCCATACCCCATCGCTAGTTCCCGTTCCAGCGTGGTAGGTTCCTCCCATCTCTTCGTCCTGTGATCATACACCATGCCTTCTCCTGGCAGCCCATCCTCCTCCCTAAAACCGGCTGCCCCTTTGTATCCCACTAGTGTCGGCCATGCCCTGCGCTCTGCCCCCACTTTGTTGCATGGGCATTGCGTCTCATGTCTGCCCTTTCTGACTGGTGCCGCTGTCTTGCCCGGCTCCAGGATCTCCTGCACAGTTTTGCTCCAATCCCTCCGTATCCCGTTCAGCTCCTGCTGCAATTGCTCTTCCGTCACGACATTCTGCCAGTAGCGTCTGACTCGGTGAGCTCGTGCCCCTAGCCTGGCTGCGTCACACCTCACTCCCTTCCCCAGCTTCCTTGTTACCAACTCTCGGACTTTCCTCACTGGTTCTCTACAGTCCCCTTCTAGGTCCAAATGCTCCAGTAGGTACACCAGCTTCTCTTGCCTTTCCTTGATCCAGTCGATGATGCAAAGCAAGTTGACCAGCAGTGCTCCCCTTGGATCTCCTAGTCCCTTTCCTTTCCCCGCTCTTGATACGGCTTGGCACTCCCACCCTGCTACCAGCAGGTCCACGTGCCCCCAGCCCCTCACCACTTCCCTTGTGATGTTCTTCACATCTGTCAGTGTCCCCTGCATTGCCTTAGTTACCACTTCTTCGTCCAGCAGCTCGGGATACTCTCTCTGCAGCTTCCTCGCATGGTGCTCGGCCATCTTCCTTACCTTCTCATTTTTCTCAACGTAGATCCACTCTTTCACGGTTATCCCTGCCCTGAGCACCGCCGCCAATCCCGCTCCTATGCCTCCGAACAGTTCTGCCAGTCTGATTGGTTCTTGCCACGCGTTGGTCTCTGCTGCCTTGCCCACCATTCCCGCTTTCCCTCTGTCTTTATTCCCCGCCTGTTCTGCCGTATACGCCCTTCTTGGCTCCGGCCTGATGAATTGTACAGGCAGCTCTCCCGTTCTGCTTCCCCGCTTCCAATACTGCTTCCGAAACTTCACCTTTTCCTTCCACGTGCAGATGGTCATTCCCACACCCCAAATCAGGTCCGTCCCCAGCAGTACATCGAAGTCCTTAGAGTCAGAGATCCCACACTGTAGTCGTATGCTGGTTTGCTCGTCCCTTCCCGGCATCAGCACCACCTCCACTGGAGTCTTTGTGCACGGCAACCACTTAGGCTCGCCTCCCTCTGCAATCATAACCAGCATCCCCCGCTTTATGTGCTGCCCTTGTCCGGTCAGTCCCAGCTTCTGTGCTAGCCGTTTTCCCAGCATCACGCTCTGTGCCCCTGTATCTAGGATCGCAGTCTTTGCTATCTCCCCTCCCACAGTCACTGTTCCTGCTTCTGCCACCAGTACCGTTGCTTGGCTGGCTAGTCGGTCCTTGGGATGCCTGGCTGGCTCCTCATCCCCTTCACTCTCTTCTTCCGTTTTCTGTTTCGCTCTCCCTCTCTCCTTCACTATGTGTTCCTTCCTCCCATCCTTGCCCCCGCTCCTCAGACCCATCTCTTCTCGGCAGCGCATTGCTAAAAAAGTGTGTTCTGGCAACCGTTCTTCCTCCTCCCTTTCCTCCTCTTCCTCCTCTCTTGCATACAAGCCCGCTTCCTTCTCCTTCTTGCCTCCCATCGCCTACAACCGCGCTTGCAGCTTCTCAATCTGGTTTGCTATGTCCTCTTGTGACCTTCTCGGTCCACCCGTCTTCTGATAGCAGTCTTTCTGCTGATGCCCCCTTTTTCCGCACACGTCACAGATCGGCGCATCAGGGCACTCCTGCCGGCGGTGGCCTGGTTTGCCACATGTGTCACAGTTCTTGCAGTTCATCTTCACATGCCCTGGCTGTCCACACCTGTAGCACATCCTAGTATCTGTCCTCCTCTCCTGCCGCTGCTCCTCTCCGCTTCCTGCCCCTGGTATCATCGCGGCTGCCCAGGTGGGTCGTCTCTTCTCCGCTGCTTTGGGCAGGTATGCCTCATAGCGCCTCTGTGTCAGCTCCACCTTTTCTGCGAGCTCAAATACTTCTTCCAGCGTTGCCTCTGCCCCTAACTCGTAGACCCTCATCCTCAGCCCTCCTGCTAACCCATCATCCAGCCCCACCAGGAACTTGCTGATCAGCATACTGGTGTCCGTGCACACCACATCTTCGGCCAAGTTCATGAGTCGCCCATAGTATGTTAACAGTGACTCGTCCTTCTTGCGTCTGAAGTCCTGAAACTCCCTGATCCGGTCCGCTGTATGCCCGGGAAACTGCTTGCGCAGCCGCGCCAGAAACAAGGCTGTCGGGTCATCTCCATCTTCCTCTGCCCTTCTTAGCCACTCTTGCATTTTCATGCGATACAGAGTCTCTGCCTCCCCTCCCAATGTGTTGGGCAGACTGAGGAAGAAGTCGATGGGGTCCATCCCCCCACGATCACACCGATACTTGACATTCCCAATCTGCATCAGATAATTCTTCAGGTTAGTGCCCGTCCCTTCATTTTCTGTGAAGCGCACTGGCACCTCCACCCTAGGCGGCGCCTGCGTGCCCCATCTCCCTATGTCCCAGGTCCCTGTCACCCCACGCTCCGCATGGCTACCTTCCCCTCTGCGCTCCCTCATTCCTCTGCTACCTGCGCTAGCTCCGTACAACACCCTCTCTATTCCCTCTCTTGCGGCTCTAGCCCCGCTGGATCCCTCTCCTGTCTGCCATGGCCTCCTTGAGCTCCTTGGAATCGGACTCCCTCTCTGCTCCCCTTCCCACGCCTCCTTCCACCTGCCTTCTTCCCCCCTTCTCCTTTCCTTCCTCTCAGGCGAGTATTCCTGACCTCGCCTATCTCGCTCTACCCTGTCCTGCCGCTGCTGGTCTTCTCGCTTCCTCTCTTCTGCCCCTGAAGCATGCAGTGATCCTCGCCTGTCCTCCCTGCGGTACCCCTCTTTGTGCTCTCTTCCCTTCTGCGTTGAGTCTCACCCCTCTCCTTCTTCACCATCGCTACGCCCTCCCTCCCTCGGCAGCCCCAAACCTCGCCAGTCACCCCTCGCCACGCGCCGCTTGCGCTCATACTTTTCCCTCGGCTCGGGCGAGCGGAATGCTCCAACGGGCGCATGACAACTCCTCTCTCTTCCTAGATGCTCCCTGGTGTGACGTTCACCTCTCCCACTCCTGTCGTGCTTCAACTCATATTCATACTACCCTGCAGGTACGCGCTCTTCCTTCCACCCTCCCCCTTTCTCAATACCTGTTTCTTCGCGACGCCGTCGCTCGTCTCCATCGTTCCTTTCCTCTCCGTGCCACCCACTACCCCGCGCAGCTCCAGGCCCTTCCTTGGTGGCGTCGTCACGTCTTCCGCCTCCCCGCGCAGTGGGTGAATCTTCGCCTTCGTCACCGTCTCGCGTTCCGCCTCCCCGCGCAGTAGGGGATTCGCCTTCGTCACCGTCGCGCGTTCCGCTTCCCCGCGCAGTAGGGCCAGCTACAACTCCCGCAGCACCACCAGCTCCAGTACCTCCAACAGCTCCAGCTCCAGCAGCACCCCCAGATGCAACAGCTCCAGTACCTCCAACACCTCCAGCTCCAGCAGCACCTACAGCTCCAACTCCTGCAGCACCACCGGCCCCAGCAGCTCCAGTACCTCCAGTACGAGCACCTCCGGGACCAGCTGCTCCAGCACCTCCAGCAGCCCCAACACCAGCAGGACCTCCAACAGCGCCAGTACCTCCAGGACCAGCGGCTCCAGCAGCTCCAGCACCAGCAGCACCTCCAGCAGCTCCAGCACCAGCAGCACCTCCAGCAGCAGGCCCCGTAGCCCCAGCAGCACGGCTACAGCACCGAGCGTACCACTCACGTAGCCGCTGTGGAGAGAGGGGCTCCCGCCGTGACGGGACACCTGGAGGACCTCCAGACTCAGCACGCTCAGGCTCAGCACCCCCAGACTCAGCACCCCCAGGCTCAGCACCCCCAGGCTCCACACGCTCAGGCTCAGCACCCCCAGGCTCCGCACCCACAGACTCAGCAACCCCAGGCTCAGCACCCCCAGTCCCCGCACCCGCAGGCTCAGCACCCCTAGCAGCACCTGAGTCGACAGCTACCTCGACAGGCTCGACAGGGTCTACCTGGGACACACCTGAGGGGGCAGGACCCTGAGGGGGGAGGGGGTCTACCGGAGGAGCACTTGGTGCTAGGAAGAGAGGCGGGGGGGGGGGGGGAGAGAGGCAGTGCGGTAGGGAAAGAGACGATTGTAAGATACCGACTCGTCAAACGTGACGTCCTGAGAGGACAGAACACGACGCGAGGTGGGGTGGTAAAACTGCCACCCAGGTGCGTCAGGGGGGAAGCCAAGGAAGACGCAGGGAATGGCACGAGAGGACAGCTTGTCCGCGGAAGCATCGCGGACAAAAGCTCGAGATCCTCAGACACGGAACACAGACGCATCGCCAACCTTCCCCGTCCACCGCAGAGTAGGTGTGGTCTCCGGCAAGGAGACACGAGGCTGAAGGTTGATATGATGCGCAGCGTACTGAACCGCGAACGGCCACAGAAAATGGGGAGCAGCCGCATGGATCATGGACGTACGAGCGACGTCCATGACCTTGCCAATGCGGCGCTCAGCAATCCCATTTTGCTGTGGGGAGGCCGGAAGCGTGAACGTTTGGCGGATGCCCTCCGCACGACAGAAAGCCCTCAGAAGGTCGGAGGAAAACTCACCACCTCTCTCTGAGTGCAGACGCAGAACAGGAAGGTCCGAGCCGAAACTCGCGCAAAGCTGGCGACGGGTACCGCGGATCCAGTCGATCAACACCTCAGTGACCTCACCCTTGCGGCGCAAGGGGAAGACTGTGGTGTAACGCGAGTAGTCGTCAACAACCAGCAGGAAGTAACGCTCGTGACCCTGTCCACGGACGCGGGCTGGGCCCCACACGTCCATGTGAAGAGTCTGCAGGGGAGCCTCTGTCGGAGGGAACGTGGAGGAGTGAGGAGCGGCGCGCTGCCGGCCCTCGACACAAGGAACACAGGTAGGGGCAGGCCCCGGAGGAAGGGGAGGGAGGGACCGGGGGAGACCAGAGACAAGGGTACGGGAGGCCATACCTCGAAGACGAGGCAGGGAGGGGTGACCAAGGCGGTGGTGCCAAAGGAGAGTCTCGTGTGACAGAGGACGACACGAGCAGGGGGCCGACACTGGACTAGACCTGGACGCGGCAGAAAACACCTGACCAGACGCAGCTACCTGACCAGACGCAGTAACCGGAGGAGACGCAGTAGTCAGTGTGTACAGACTCGACCCAGGCCGACGGGTGAACTTTGCAGGTGGCGGCCCGTCCGAGAGCAAGTGCAATGGGTCACACTCTGACCTTCAGGGGTGAACTGGTCAACCCACGCGTCCTGAAGGTCAGCTCCACTCACCAAGTTCGTAGAGAACGAGGGGAGGTGGAGTCCCGACAGCAAGCCTGACGGGGCCGCAGGACACGGTAGAACCGTGGAAGAGTGCGCAAGGACTGGGCCCCCAGAGGGGTCAGCCAGGGAGACTGCGACAGGCCGACTGAGCGGCGTGAGTGTGGTGCTGTCGCGAAAGAAAGAGCGTGAAGCAAAAGAGTCAAGTGTGAAAGTGTGCAAGGCCTCAGTAGGTGCAGTACCAGAGAGAGCAGACTCACCAGCACCTGGAGCAGCAGACTCACTAGCACCTAGAGCAGCAGCCTCAATGCCCGGGTCGGGGGGAACACACAGGTAGCAGTCACCCTCAGCACTATCAGTCAGACCATACATGGCAGCAAGGATAGCATCAAAAGCAAGATCAAAGATAGCAACATTCTGCCTGAGCAGATCACCCCAGGGAGGGAGCTCAACAGCGTCAGGAAACTGGGCGTGCCAGGCGTCAGTCAGGCGACCGAAGCAGCGCTGCGCAGTGTGTGGCAGCCCGCACGTCTCCCCACGGCGCCCGCCGGTGCGAAGAACGTAAGTGCAGGGACCAACACCCCCAGACCTCCCACACCCAGCGTACCACTCACGAAGCTGCTGGGCCGACGGGGTCTCACGGGAACGCTGCTGCTGCTGGCGCTGGCTACCACCAAAGCCTCCATGCTGCGCGGCTCCACCTCGACCAGCACCACCGCCGCCGCCACCTCCACCACCGCTGCCGCTGCCTCCACCTCCACTGCCGCTGCCTCCACCACTCCCACCGCCGCCACCGAAGCCCCCACTCCCGCCACCTCCCCCACCTCCACCGCCACCCCCTCCGCCTCCTCCACCACCTCCACCGCCGCCCCCACCGTCCCCTCCACCACCCTTGCCCCCCTTGCCCTTGCTGTTGCGGCACCTCCCACTAGGAGCAGACGCAGCCCCGACCTCCTCAGTGCCAACGAGGTCGACAGCAGCAGCAGAAGCAACAGAGGGGAGAAGGGGGACAGGGGAACACCCCTCAAAGAAAGGGGCGCGAGGGTCGCCGCGAGAAGCAGCCACAGCTAAGATACTCTTCTCAGCTGCAGTGAGGCGATCCTCTAGCAGGTCGACGGTGAGCTCGGTGGGGCAAAGCGAGAGAAAGTGGTCCCTGACTGAAGCAAGGGAGTCAGGGAGGCGGGTGACTAGGTAGTAAAGGGTGATGTACATGGGGGGGGGGGGTTCTTGGCACGGCAGCATGAGGCGGCTGAGGGCAGGAGTGGCAGGGGAGGAGTAGCGCGCTACGACAGCGTCATACAAAGACTGAGCAGTCTTGTACTGGCCAAAGTGCGCGCGCTCAGCAGACGGCAGGTGACTACGAACAGCAAGGCGAGCAACAGCATCACGAGTGGTCCACTGCGAGCGAACCGTACTGTCAGCAGTGGCAGCAGGTGCAGTAGAGACTCCGGACGTGTGATCGAAAAGGGATACCCCGTCCCTAGAGTCACACTTAAGGAAGAGCTGCAGGTCGTCAACCCACACGTCAAAGTCAACCGCACGCCCCTCAGCATCAAAGGTAAGAACAGTAGGGCTAGCCATAGCGGCAGTAGCAGCAGTAGCAGCAGTAGCAGCAGTGGCAGCAGAAGCAGCAGTAGCAGCAGGAGCAGTGCAGGCAGGGCAATGCGGCTCAGTGGGGCGGCGCGGCTCGGCAGGGCGGCGCGGCTCGACAGGGCGGCGCGGCTCGATAGAGTGGCGTGGCTCGGCTGGGCGGCGCGGCTCGGCAGGGCGGCGCGGCTCTGCTGGGCGGCGCGGCTCGGCTCGGGGCGGCGCGGCGTGGCAGGGTGCTTACCAGGGGCGGGTGCAGGGCAGGGCCGCAGCTGGCAGTTTAGGTCAGGGCCGCGTCTGGGGCGGCAGCAGGGCAGGGCCGCAACAGGGCGGCTGCAGGGTAGGGCCGCGACTGGGGCGGCAGCAGGGCAGGGCCGGGACAGGGCGGCAAAGGCAGGGCCGCGACGAGCGGCGACGGGCCAGCGACGGGCGGCGACGGGCCGGCGACGGGCGGCAACGGGCCGGGACGTGCCGGCGACGGGCCGGGACGGGCCGGGACGGGCCAGTGACGGGCGGCGAAAGTCAGGGCCGCGACAGGGCGGCTGCAGGGCAGGGCCGCAGTGGGCGGCTAAAGCAGGGCCGCGACGAGCGGCGACGGGCCAGCGACGGGCGGCGAAGGCAGGGCCGCGACGGGCCAGCGAAGGCAGGGCCGCGACGGGCCAGCGAAGGCAGGGCCGCGACGGGCCATGCTAGCGCAGGGCGCGCGACGGCGCAGGTGAGGCAGGCGCGAGGCGCGCTTCGAGCAGGGCAGGAAAAAAAAAATCGTGGTGGGCCCTAAAAAAAACGTTCCCACTAGGGAACCTGCTCATAATACCATGTCAGAATAGTGAAGGAATGAATGACTGAACTAGCAAGCAGGTGGGTACAAGTAGGAAACCTAAAAGTGTTGTACCATATATGAAGTACCCCACTACAGCCTAAACAGACTATAGCATATAAGTTTGACAGCAGCCTCTTCACAACCAGGGATGCATTGCTGAGAAGCACAGTCGCGAAGCCGCTGCAGGGAGAAGGTGCCTTGCGGCCGCTGCTGCCGCCACTGTGCAGTACCCATAAAACCAAAACCTCCACCACCAGGAATGCCTCGCTGAATAACCCACTCACGAAGCTGCTGAGGGGTGGGGTCGTCCGGGAGAGGCAGTGACTGCTGCTGTCCACCCCTAGCCGCTGCGACGATAGTTGCCATGACAGGCAGTGACAGTCAGTAGCCGCACCTCCAGCACTCCCGGGTGCACCTCCAGCACCTCCAGCACTCCCAGTAGCACCTCCAGCACTCCCGGCAGCACCTCCGGCACTCCCGGCAGCACCTCCAGCACCTCCAGTACTCCCAGCAGCAGCAGTAGCAGCAGCAGGGCGGCTCGGTGGGGCTGGAATGAGGCAGGGCGGCGCGGCTCGG